GGGGCTGACCGTGTAGTTCCTGTGCAGCCCCACGTGGAGCTGGGCAGCCGGGCAGGCTCTGGCTGTGGCCCGGGGCCAGGGCTGTGTGCCCTGCCTGCTGGGCTGGCCCGTGCTGTGGGTGCCGGGGCTGGCCGTGGGGTTCTGGAGCAGGCAGGGCGCGTGGGGTTTCCCTCCATCTCAGGGTGCCTTCAGCTAATTTGGCTCGTCTGCCGCCCAGTCTTTTCTAAAGAGCCCAAGCTTTAGATGAAAACGCAGGCAGAAAGGAACTGCAGTAAAAGTAGTTGTACTACTAGTTCATCCTATGATTAATAGCAAGACTTGCTTAGAAGTTAGTCTTTGATTTCCTCTGTTTAATTGTAGCCCTAAGTGAAATGGGTTTTTGATTTATAGAAAATGCAAAATTGGGTACAGAAAGTTTTAAATTACAGTAATAGTAAAAAATTTCCCACAATACTCATCCCATATTGTTTCAATTCAAAAGAGCTAAGGCTTGATTTGTGTGGGAAAGAATCCATAGCAGCCAAGTTCCACATTTGAAACTGGGGAGAGGGGAGGATCAATTACCCTCTTTTGAGGATACAAAAATATGCCTGAACTTCACTATGTAATACTTTTATCATATATTCCCTCTCTGGAAGGTTGCATGATGATTAATTAATTTAGAGTAGCTGTTTTCTTACATGAGTACCATGAAAAAGCAAGCTAGGAAGTTTGCGTTAGAATATACAAGAACGTCGGTTTTAAAAGGAGAAGCTTTAGGAACAGCGATGGCTCATAATCATGATGGAAAACTAATCTATTTTTTTATAATTACTTGCATTATGCAGAACGGCTCAGTATACCCTGAGAGTTTTAAAAGTCATAGTGCAATAACTGCAGTAGCTTTAATAATGGCAGTTTAATTCCTAAACTGCTTTTTGGAAGTCCTGCACGGCTGATCTCACTTTTGCTGCACCGTATTTATGTTGACTTTTTCTTTCATTAGACCACAATGTCTGTGTATGTTTACAGCACTAATCCTAAATGTTGACATTCTGGATAGTTAAAATACATTCAGTATCATTGAGGCTATTCTGTGGGAAGTGGCTTTGCTTTAACAGGGTGAGACCAAATGCTGCTTTGTTTACAGGGGTAAATGCTGAAAAATGCTAATCTGACCTATGAGGGTTTGCATGTGTGTTCCTGAGAATAGAGCTTGGGCCTTTCGTATTTGCTGGTTTGTGTACCAAAATACAGCTAAAAATTATTTTGAAAATAATATTACAGTTGTTATTCTGGTGGCCAACAAGATTTTTTTTAAATCCTGCTTCACAGTCTCTTCTAAGATACAGTTTTTATTTGGAACACACTGAATTTACAGTTTTAATATAAAATGCTGCTTCTATTCTATTTAATTTGGCATGACCAAATGTAAAATCTAACCATAATGCACAGTATTGATCCATTAATAAGCATTTTTAAATTGTACTGCACATCTTGGATAATTTGTTGTAGTAGGATTTTAAAGTCAGGTAAGCTCTGCATTTGTGCTATAGCCTGACAGTTTAATCAAGATACAAATTTAGAAACAAATCAGCACTGTCTTTTATATAGTGCCTCTAAATCCATGGTAATTGGTAGCAGACCTCGGTAACAGGGAAGGATCGCAGTTCCATGCTACCAATACCAGTGGGTGTTGCTCCACAGCTGCATCCTATAAGAAGAGAAGATGCAAGAGAAATTAAAGGATCCCCACATGCATTTTTCTGTAATGTACCTTTTGCAGAGTCCGAGGCTGATGGAAAATTCCCTTGAATCCAGTGTGTTAGAGGGCTGTAAATAGTGCCATATGTTCTGCACACTTTAACTCCTACCTTTGGAGAGCATGGGCACTTCTTGAGTCAGCTTTCTTTACTTTGTAGTTTTGAAACATTTAAAAAACCCTAAAAGCTTGACTTTCAGCAGCTCAGGGAGGGGAGACTCCAAGTGCTGTTGGTGTGTTCCCTGGGCTCCCTGCAGAGGCCTGTTCCGGGGGGCCCAGCCGTGCCAGGATGTCCCGCGTGGCGCTGGCTCGGCACAGGTTGGTCCCTGCACACCCGGGAGCGGATCCGAGCTATAGGCTGAGCTTGTGTGCTCTGGCAGCACAGATGGAGTGTGCTGTCATTAGGACTGTTTGTTGCCTGTTGGAACACACAGCATATTTCTACCGTGGCATCAACAGTTTCTAAGAACTGAGGTCAAAATAAACAGGTTGCAGTTGGATACAGGAACAGTCTGGGAAACAACTTAAAATTCCCTGCTGAGACATTACCGTACTCCTAGATCCATGGATCAAAAGGCAGGGCTTTCAGCAAGGGCTGGTCTAGATTTCTGCTGGTGAGTGCAGATCCTCGTGGAGTTGCAGGGGTACACTCCATAAGTTTTCTAGAGAGACTGGTGCATGTACGCAGAAATGGCCTTAATTTAAATAAAGAAGCACATTTAAGCACAATAATTCCACGCTGTTTGTCTTAGTCTTTGTAGTACTTGAGCCAAGTGGAAGCGATGTCCTGGTGCCCATTTGAAAAGGGCATATTTCAGTTAGAACTCAGGCTCTGCTGCAGGTGTGGGTGGCACTGAAGGTGACAGGGCTCTGCACAGGACTGACAGCCTCTGGCAAACCTTCTGGAGGTGGTTGGAATTGCTGCTGCCCCAGCCTCCCCACTCCACCCTGTTCCTGGGCACTGGGGCTTCCTCAGCAGAGCCTGTGAGGGGGGCGTGTGCCCACACCTGAGCTGCTTCGTGTCCCCCCCACAGGTCCAGCTGGAGCCCTTGGAAGCACATCACTCCCTGTGGAGCTGCTGCGGCGTTCCCGAGGCCTGTGCCTGCGGATCCAGCGTGGAGAGCCCCATCTCCAGCAGCCAGGTGGAGCAGACACCCAGGGAAAAGGGACTTCGGTGTGGGACAGAGCTCAAATGTCAGTGCCATGGGTAAGTATTTACCGGATCAGCCCATACACAGACTCAGATTCCAGGTGATTCCTGGCCCCAGGGAGATGAGTGGAGTTTTAGCCAGGGATATCAGCGAAAGCAGGGTTTAATTTGTAGTGTTTAAAAACCCAGCAGACTTTTACTTAACAGGACAAATACTCGGGATGATTTTGGCTTGAGAGAGCTGTAAGTAGATTTGTTTCCTGACAGAATCAGCAACAGTCACTTGGAAAGGTTTACTCATATTTACCTGGTCACAGTTGGTTTACAGCCATTGGAACTCTCTCCCGCTTGTTGGGCTGCAAACACACAGAGGCATAGCAAGCTGCTAGATGTTAGAGAATATTCTCATGGGTTTACTTAGAAAATGTTCTCACGGGGTTTTGTTGGGGTTTTTTTTGGTGGGAGGATTAAATGTAACTCTAGTTTCAGTGGTTAAAATTAAAAAGCAAGGTTATTTTTTCCTTTTCAGAAATGAAACGTTATTGAGCTGTATGGCATGCATAACAGTAAATAGTTAATACAGATATGAGCAGTGAAGTAGGGAAAAGAGGTGTCAAGAGAATTAAGAAAATTTAGAAGACTAATATGGAAAGATGTGTTTAATTCTTTTAAGAGTGAAAAAGAAACCTTTCCTGTATTCTTTGTTGCTTCCAGTTTACTGCTGTTGCCATTCTTGCTTCCCATGTAGTGAGGAGTTCAGTGGTCTGCATTAAAACCAGAGCAGTAATATTATCATCCCTTCCTTTCCATATGCTCCTTCCACCACAGTGACAGGGAAACAGTGCTCTTAGAAAACTCTTTTTATTGGCTGATCTTACTGTCTCCACCAGGTTTTCTTGGCTCTTGCTATGCCCTTACACACAGTCTGTGTGTAACCATGTGCCTTTCCATCCTTGGCCCTGGGAGGGCTGGTGCAGCCTCCTTCCCCCTGCCCCTCTGCCCTGCTCACAGGCAGCTGCTGAGGCTCCAGCTCCTCGTGCCCGAGCTGGGAACACTCTCCTCCCCCTGCTTTGGAGTTGGCTCCCGGCGCCCGCCGCAGATGGTCTGCACCTCATACATAATAAAGATTTTTTTTTTTCTTCTGAGGAGGGTTTCTGTGAATGTGAGAGGCAGACAGTCTGGCAAGCTTAGACCTGTGTTTTTATATTTTTTTCTAAGTGAACCTTGAGGGATGTGTCTACCATAGTTTGGAACCCCTTAATAGCTAATGGAGCTCAGTAGTGTCTTGGTACCAGAAGTAGGAACCTGATTTGTCCACTTGATGTTTTCTTAGGGTAAGTTACATAGGCAAAATGAAGTTAGGGCCCAACTGGACAAGACAAAGAAATTAAGCAGAGGCATTTGAGGAATTAAAGTGGTTGCTTTAGGAAGGTGGTCTTCTAATAAAGGTGTGATAGGTTTGTGCTAGCTGTGTTTGGGACTTGCTTTGGGGTAGGCTCTTAGAGGTGTGTATTTCTTACTAGTCCTAGTAAATGTTTTCCTATGAGTTCACTCTGCACTGCTTTTAGACTTGAGTAATAAATTCTGGGGTACCAAAATGTCCCCAGGACCTCATGTAAGAGCCAGATGAGCATTTTCAAATGTCAGATGGTTTTGGTTCTAGGTAGCTCAACACTTTCTGGTTCCTTTGTGTGGTGCTGTGTTGGTAAGGTCACACTCAGCACTCCAGGAGCCATAAAGACAGGCACATGTGGAGAGTTCTGCTTCATGGGCCAGGCTTTGATTTTCTGTTCTGTGTGGAAGCTGCCTGCCTGCACAGGGCTGTTCTTGATCTCTGCAGTATGCTTTGGGAGCTGAAAATGTACAACATAGGCAGGAAGAAAATAGTGGAAATACACTTATACCAGCACTTTTAGCAGCTGATTTGACCCCCATGAGAAAGGATATGTCAAGGTCAGATATGGGGTTGTGTGTTTTAAAAGATAAGAGGAACAATGTCCTGAATGAAGTTGGATTTTGTTCATGATGAGGAAGAGTTTTTTCCAGGTATTTCACTCCTCTGTTTTTCATGTTAGTGCAGTCCAAAACTGACTTGAGGACTGTGCAGTATTTGCTAAAGTACTTTGAGGTTTAAGTGTCTGAAACTGCCAACTCCTATAAGAAAAAAACCCCACTGGTGTCAGATAAGACACTTTCCCAGGGACTGAAGGGTGTCAGAGTAAGGGGCTCTAAGGAGTGAGCAGAGCAAATAAAATATTTTGAGAAGAGACAAGCTCCAGAGAAGATGTTACTTAGACAGCAGTGGTCAGCAGCACAGGATGGTCATAGACTCATCCTCTAGGCTGGAAGGGGCCTTAGGAGGCATCTCGTGCAGCCTCCTGCTCAAAGCAGGGTCGGCCCCGGGATCAGACCAGGCTGCTCAAGGCTTCATCCAGTTGGATCATGAAAGCCTTTGGAGCATGGAGACTGCACATCCTCCCTATGCAGTCCCTTCCATTGCTTGACTGACTTTTTGAGCTGCTAGGATACATGTTTTAAGCATAGAACATGAGGGTTAGAGATATACTTAGTCTTAAAAATTGTTAAGTGTCGTGTAATTGCATAACTGCAGAAGCTGAGGCTTTAGGAACAATACTGAATATCATGAAATTTGTGATTTGATTTTAAAATTAAGCAACATCTATAAGACCAAGAGTCTGCTGCTTTTGTAAAGCAAATGTTCATCTAAGAAGGTTTTTTTCAAATAGTGAACCATATCTGTAAAGTTCTGAAGTGATAGCTGCTATTATGTGCTCCTCTGCTTGGCACAGTAATTAAAGTATACATTAGTGCTCTGAGACACGTGTTTAGAAGTATGGATTGAAAGTAATCACCCTCCCACTATAGAAATTGCTTGCTGAGTCCAACAGCATATGTGTTGTTATAGAAAGTTGGTGTTCATGTATTCTGCATGGGTACCATTAAATCTAATATTTCATATGTTTTATTAAATATAATTGAAATATAAAAAGACATTTAATTGTATTAAAGATATGTGGGGGTTATTTACATATTGAACTGGTCTGGGACAAGTGTTTTTAAAGGTAAATCTTGCACTGTAACAACCACTAAGGATTAAATTGTCAAGCTACTCATACAGCTCAAGGGGTCATTGAGGTGTCTGCAGGCATCTGTGTGAGTGTGGCAGCAGGAACTCCTGCCTCTGCAGGGGGGTCACCTCAACCAGGTTTGCACATCCACACTGCCCGTGGGGTGAGTCCCTGGGGAGCGTTGGGCACGGCCCTCAGCATTGCAGGGTGGGTTTGTATTGGGGGGTGAGTCCCTGGGGAGCAC